TTGACACATTTTTTTATACAGAGATGCCAAAACCGCGGAGCCCCAACTTAATGAGTCGACAACTCAAAAATCTACGAGATAATGCAACCACATACAATGAACTTGGTTGCGAGATTTATCGGGCATTAAGATCCCTCCTATGAGTTTCAATATACAAGCCCGAGCAAATATTTGAGCTCGTTCCTCAGAACAGTTGTCGCTTAACCTTCGAAAATTTCTAGCCAACCATGATAACGATATTCGATCACCATTGAAATTAGGCAGGATACCTCCAAGATACTCCTTGCACAAGAAATGATAGTCATCATCCGCCACACCAGAAACAACATCCCCATCTACAGGAAGCCCTAAATGTAAATGTAAAGAAACATTCTCCAGCGTAATAATGCACTCCCCACCTGGAAGATGGAATGTGTATGTCTCTGGTCTCCACCTCTCAATTAATGCAAAAATAAGGTTGGATTCAAGGTTACAACGCCTTTCATATTTTTCTATGTAATCGAATCAAGCCTCAGTTAAATACAACCATACACGACTCGATATCTCTAATTTAGTGTTACGAATAAATGTATATAATATACGGTCATTCACCTAATTAAATAAAAAGTATACAAATTAAAATATAAACTAGTACTAAAAAAATAAATGAATAAAACATTCACAACAAATAAAATAACATAATTTAAAATTATTACCATATTGGCAAAATGACTCGATATATGATTCTCATCAAAACTCAACAACCCGCCTGCCATTTTATAACTGCAAAAAGTAATAAAAAAATTAATACAATAAAATATAATAAAATAATAAACTATTAAATAATTATATTATAATAAAAAAATTAACTTCTAAAAACGATAATTATATTTACTTAAAACTTGATGGAATAATATATAAAAGGAGGAAATATAGTGTTTTTTGTGTGGTATGAGTGTTGGATGAGGAGGTATTTATAGGGGAGGGGGACGGGGGTTGGGCGATATTTAAGGCAGGACGGTTGGGATTTAAATACAAGGCGCAGATTATGATCCGCGTCTTCCGCCACGTGTCTAATTCCCAACAAAGGCGCGCTTCATGATCTACACTTTACCACCGTGGCACCAACTCGATAGAACCTCGCGAAGGCGCGGTTTATGATATGCGCTTTTCCACCAAGGCGTCATCTCGAAAAAACCCTGAAAAGACGCTCCTCATAATTTGCGCTTTGTCAGAAAGGGTGCTAGATTGATAATATTTGAAGAAATAATACATGACAAGTAATATTTAATTGTTAGGGTGATTTTTGAGTAAAATTACCTGAAAAATGGCTGAATTCACCATGTTTTTTAATTTACATTGTATTTTTTTTATTGTTTTAACGTCCGACACATACGTGAACGAGAGGGAAATTCCCAACAAAAAACTAAAAAGAAAAAATAGAATTTTAAAATTCAAATACAAATTATTTATCTTTATAGTTTTTGTTTTTAAATAATTATTTTAAATTAATCATTTATATCCGATCTATTGATCGATTAATCTAGATCATTTACTATAGAGACAAAAACGACACTCTACAACTAATTTACTACATTCACAAACGTCATGGTTCATTTTAAATAATTCTTCAACTATAACTTTTTTGTGAAAACAAATTTTTATTATTGAATACTTAAAAAAATAATTTTAATATAGTTTTTTACACAGTTTGTCCTAATTATTTTTGTTACATTTTATCACGGGTCTTTATATTGAGTATAAATTGTAAATTTAATTTATTTTTTTTATTTTTAAAAATTTAAAATATTAATCCTCACTTAAATTATATATAATGATAATACAAGTAGATTACAAAAATTTAAAATGATAAAATTAAAAAATATGAATTCTATCTAAAAATTATGTATGATACAAAATTAATAATAGAATTTGATTTAGCATATTATAATTATCATTAGGTTAGGATCAAAATTTGATTACTACAAGAATTAAATCCATATTTTTGATATAGTACATGGACTAATAGAAGGATTTAACCTACTCTTTTTCTTATAGAAGGCTTAAACGATGCGTAGCGTGATCATCCGTCACCATCGAACAAGGGCACGGTAAAGATTCTCTCTTTTCCCACAAGACTCATCTAGAAAAGAAAATCTCACTCCTTTTTCTCGGAAAATTTAACATCCTTGGAATAAAAAAGGAAAGAGAGGCATATGGCGGCGTCGGGGATATCAGCGCCGACAAGAACAGAGGTTTTGCAGCTCTACCGATCACTTCTGCGAGTGGCGCGTCAGTTCTGCGACTACAACATAAGGGAGTACACAAAACGACGAACCATCGACGCGTTTCGAGATAACAAGAACTTAACAGACTCTTCTCAGCTCGCCGTCGCTTTCTCCGACGGTAAGGCTCAGCTGGAAGTTGCCAAAAGACAGGCTTTGGTTTATTCACTCTATGCTCCAAAGGTCAAAAGCATAATGGATATTAAGCCTTCTTAGAAAATATTTATCTTTACGTTTTGAATTGTTCACTTAGCGAAATAAAAAGAAAAACTTTGATTCATTGAGATAATTATCAAGTTTTATACTTGTATGAAGTGAATTTTGCTATGTATACACTGTTTGGGATAAATGACTTGTTGGGTTCTGTTTGTTTTTTATTATATGCAGAATTTATGTTCTTTTAAATTTTTTCTTATTGAATTTTATGATTTTATTAGCTACTAAATCAGTACTGTTCTTCCCTTTTAGGTGAATGATAATCTGGGTTTTTCAGTTGTGTGGTAGAACTTGAATAGATTTGCAAATTGAAAGTTGTTGAAGTAGAAAATGCGGAAATCATTTTCTGGAAGTCATTTTTACAGGAAACAAACTGACCCTTAGTTTGATGATTGATGTATTATTCCTGAGTTTTTTTTAGCTAATTGTTTATTTATCCTTGAAGATATAAATCATGTCAAAGCCATGTTTTAGGTGGTTATGGTTTTTTGTAATGGTGTATATCCCCGTTTGAGGGTATTCTGTGTTTTCATATGTATTGGGTGTTTTATTTAATGAAATATGAGCTACTCTTTTCTTCCTTCCAATGTTCGTTAACATACTTGTTAGTATGTGGACGAATACGAAGGGAGTTTTTAATGAGACCTCCAGCTTTTATCAAAAAATAAATCATGTCAAAGCCATGTTATCAAGTGTTAGTTAAGTTGATAACATTCAAGATGTAGCCATTTAAGAACTTAGTCGAAGACTGGTATTAGAGGTTTAGATAATGGTTTATTAAGTTAAATTTGATTTCATTTGCAGGCATTGAATCAATGCCAATTATCTTGTTACAAGAAGAAAATGTCTTCGATGATCTATTTTTACTTTGCCTTATTTCCTCTCCTTTAGGTCCAAGATGAAGTTATGTAAGTCAATAGCATTGGATTTATGGCCTTCAGAGAAATCAGTTGACTGATATTAAAGCTTCTAGATTATGGACTTAGTTAAAGACTGATACTAGAGGTCTAGGTTATGATCTGTTGAGTTAAAATTGGACTGCATTTCCAGGCATTTAATTAATGGGAATTGTCTTGTTACGACAAGGGAATTTCTTCGATGATATATTTCGTATTTTCCCTTGTTTCTCCTCCTTTAGGACAGAGCTGAAGTAGTTTTCTCGACATGTAGATATTGATTTTGAGATCGGAGAATCTCTGAGTAACCTGTAGTATTCATGGTCTGCTAGTTGAGAAGTATGTCAATAGGTGTATCCTAGCTTAATAAATGGCTGTCTACAATGATTTTGACAAAGGTTGTCAGTATTTTTGCAGTAACAAATGCTAACCATAGTTCTCTTGGAGCAATATGGATTGCTGTAGTGGAACTTGTATAGGTATTTATGAAGTTCTATGTCTAGAAAAGATATTTAGGTGAGTTCGAATCATTCACTGACATGACCAATCTTGGCTGATCTTTTTCGTGTTTGATATTGACAATGGGTAACGAAAGGGAAACTGAGTCAATTTAGGCACCCCATAGACAATGTCTGTGTTAGATTATCAATTATTAATGTAAATATTCCCATCACTATGTATCTTTTCAGAGCATCCCCATGAGAAACCTTTATGGAAAGTTCACATGTTTCATATCTGATACATATTTCAGCCTGGATAAAAAGATCTTCCTAGTATACGAGAAAACTTGGAGAAAAAAAAAAAGAGCGTACTCGAATCGACACTCACCTTAAGTCAGGGTAACATAGGTAAGCATCATGTATCTTGTTACCTCTTATGCTTTTAGATAAGGATTTGAAACTATAAGATAGGACTTTGTGGTCAGTAGGGGAATATAAACTCGGGCAATGTTATCTACTTTCAATGTCACTTAGGCTCAGGCACGATCGTCAAATAACGGGACTTGTCCAACACAGGTCTGGTTAGATTTTTTAAGTGTCGACCATGGATATTTGAAAAAGTACAATGGATATTTGAAAAAGTACGAAATGATGTACCGGAGAGTTGTGGAATTGACATAATAATCATAGGTTTTGCAAAATCCAACACATTTAGTTGCATTGCCTGGAAATCAGGGCTCCCAAATAATCACTTAATAGAGTTGGCTTTCATTAGTGACTTCATTTCCCCTAGCTTGCACTGAGATCTCTAGCTTCATTGAATTTACCTTCTGAATTTTTGGGGTTTTGTTAGTAGGGTTGAGGGGAAAATTAGGGCCGTAAATGAATCGTACATCAATAATCAAATTTGTGTTTATTTTTTAAACATATTTGTGTTCAGGTCGTTTCTTTAGGAATTTCAAGATTTTATTTGTACTATTTTTTAAGTTACGTTTGTTCATTTCTATCCGTTTAATGTTCTCAAGCATGCTTACGAATTGAATACACCTTTGTTCATGCTCATTTATTTAGTTTAGTAAACACTATACAAATGATTCACAAGTAAACGGATCAGATTGTCGAAGTGCATATTGAAGAACAATCCTATGCCTAAAACTTTTTTTTGGGGGGGGGGGGGCATCTTGGTGAAGGAGACAGATACTATAGAATCCCCATTCGTCTGAAAATGGAATCAAGATAACAGAATGTGAAGCTGAAGAAAGGTTAAAAACATGGCAGCATGAGCAAGCAAATCTCATCAGCAAAATCAAGAAACTGCACATTCTACTTCCCAAGTAATCTACGTGTTCGTTGATTAGCACCTTGCACACGGATATTTAGAACATCCACGTCATCTTCTACTCCATCCAAAGCTTCGGTTTGCCTGCAATCAGGGTTTCATTGAGTTGATTTTTGAATAGTGGTGTAATGAAGTAGAGCTACGAAGCTTGACTTAAGATTCAAAGTTCAAAAAGAAACTAACCCCTCGATTTCAGATCGCATATCATCGGCCATAACCTTCATTTCTCCCAGTAGATCGCTTAAATCAGAGAGTGCGTCATCTTGCTTTGTCTTTTCAAACTGTTTAAACAATCCCAGAAATAAACAAATAAATTGCCTGTTCCATAAAAGATTCAGATTTCAGACAAATTAGTTGTTTCACGCCTTCATTTCAGACCTCGACTTTCTGATATGCATCTGTCGGCTCGAGGGGTGGTGTTCGAGATTTCGAACGACCCCTCGGAACTGCATTCAATCCCAGTTTCTCCCTCTGCTCCAAGTGGCCACCACTACTCTTTGGAAAATTATCTGCGGACCAAGTACATTACACATACAGTTCAGGAAAAAAGGGCAACAAAGACATCACCAACTTCCATTTACGAGAAATCATGCATTCATATGCTTAAAATGAGGGCAATGAAAAGATGATTAATGGAGGTGTATGGGAAGAAAATGGACCTCTTGTTATAACAGGGCCAACTATCGGACGAGTCTTCTTTGGCTTCCAGGTTTTAGAGAACATCCCTCCAAGACTTCCCAAGAGCTTCTCGCCCTGAAATCCGAAATAACTACCATTAAGAGTGTCCCTTTAATTTCATAAGATCAATCCATAAGAGGAAAAGTAAGGTTTTTTTTTTTTTGAGTACACAAAGGTAGAAAAGATCTAAACTAGTTTACTATGTTTCCTCTTCGAACGTTCATCAATAGGTTTCCTATCTCCGCCGGAGGTCTTCAAAGTTGTGGAGTCCGAATGGGAGGTTCCATGCCATCTTTGCCAATCCGTCGGCAAGTGCAACTCCGTTTCGTTCTCTCGGAATATGTTCAAAATGTAATTGCCACTTTTTGCTGAATTAACTAGACGACATGTGGTACCATCGGTGACACTCTATCCATCAACGCACTCTTACTAAGTTTATTGATTCTTAGAATATATAACTAAGAATATCTGTCCCGTGTCAAGTAGGTTTCTTATTAAGTAATCTATTCAATGTGGAGGATTTCCAGGTTCAAACGGTTTTAGAACAGGATGTCATGAACATCTCCTAGCATGATCATATGATTTCTAGGGCAATACCATTCATTCAATCTGATAAATATGTAAACTCAAACCTCGTCATCGACTTAATTTTAAGCGACTCATTATGATCATTACAATAGCAACATGATCAAACCTGGATATTGTGTTTATTAAAACATAAACAGTAGGAAATTTCTTCATGTTTTCATGTTTTATGGCAGTTCTTCAATCATGTACCAGAAAGTTTTGCTTTTAAAACCAAATGACGTACCCGACTAAGGTCATGATCGATGCCGGCAGCAACGTTATGAGTCCGTGTAATTTGTTCACCCTGCTGATGCAAGGTGATCAAAGTATTGGTGGCACCTTCTCTCATTTCTTCTGCAATCTTCAAACAGTTATCGACAGTCTTTGTAGTCTCCTCAGCCTTGTAGACGGCATAGTTCTCCAGTTCTTGCACCGGTTGGTTCTCAAGCCCACCAGTGTCACGGAAATCATTCTTATACTTGTTTCGTGATGCCGAAGATTGCCAATATGAAGAAGAAGAAGAAGAAGAAGAAGAAGAAGAAGAAGAAGAATTCACTTTCCCTTCATCATCAAAAGGATTGACCCCAAAATTCGGAGGACTCAAAGTAGCTTCAGAAGAAGCAGCAACACGTGCAGGATCATCTGAATTCTGCTTAGCAGTCTTCAATGGAGATTTCTTTAAACCAAACATTCTTTTTAATGAATGAAGAATTTGTTACTTGATCGAGCAGTTGATATGAAGACAGAAGTCAAATACTATTTAATCTGCAGAGCAATCAACATTTACACTTTAGACCATGGCAGCAAAGGACATAACCTTCAATTCTCCAAGGTAATAACCACATACAGATGCAAGCATGCATGCATACATATATACATATATACATACAAACAAACATACATAGATACATTCAATTCTAAAGTCATCATCAAAGACTAATAGTAGACTTGGGATTTTTCATCTCTTCATAGAAAAATATAAGATTCATTCAGTTTTCATGTAAGGCAAACAAGCATAGAACCAACTAAGAAAACCATGAAGCAAATATCTCCGTCAATTATTTAAGGTATCAATCAAGCTGTTCTAAAAATATCGGAATCGTTACGTATTACAAGAAAAAGAGAAGAAAATCTGGATTTTGTTTGTTGAACCAAGAAGTTCGATTTCGTTTCGACAAGAACATGAAGAAAAATTCAAAACAATCCGTATGCAGAAATTTATGCAAATAAATAAATAAATAAAAGAACCTTGGGAACTACCTTGAGGAATGGAAACGTAGAGAAAATCCGACTAAATTTAGCAGCAAATGAAGTTAAAAAAATACAGGAATTCTTGAAGAAAAGAGAAGTCTTCTAATGGATTGTCAGGAAATGAAGAGCTTTTAAAGAGAGCGAAGGAGACGCCTTAAACGCGTCAGATAATCCAAAGAGAAAGTTCCCCTCTCGACAATTCAATATCCCGTTCCAGAAACTAAACTTTTATTTGTTGAACAAATCAACAGGGGTTTTGACAATAAGCAACTTAAGCTTCCCATCTTGACCGAAACCACGCCACCTTCATTTCTCTTTTTCCTCCCACCTAGTAAATGAAACTTCTATTCATTTTATATGGATTGGTTAAAGATTATTGAAGCTTGGATTAAGAAAAAAAGTAATTATAAATTTCATTCTTTTATTATATGGAAATTTTAAAAAAATAATCTTTTTATCTTAATTGTTTTATTAATTCTAAGATTGATTATAAAGTAATATTTGTTCGAAAGATTCAACTCATTTGACAATGAATATTCAAACACGTCTCTAACACACGATGTGCTTGAATTCGAAACCTCTAATAATAACAACTATTTCTATGGTTCATGCTCTATCTTAATTGTTAGAGTTTGATTCTTAAGTTTAATTACATAACACTTCTGAGTTTTCTTACTGATATGGAAATTAATATTTCAATATTTTATATATCATAAAAATCAATGATTTAATAATGAATAAGAAATTTAGTAGTTTAAACCCATCGTACAATCTTAATAATAAAACAAAGTATTTTTCTCCTTAAAGATTTCGGATTTCAAATCTTAATAATAAAAAAAGTGTTTTTCTACTTAAAGATTTCGGATTCGAACAAATGTGTTTACACTTGTGCTACAAGCATTTATATGATCTTAGGTAAATTTGGAAATATAAGTATAAACATTATATTAGGATATGAGTATGGATATGGCTAATCGAGTACGATCCTCTGAAATAAGAAGAAACTTGAGAAAAAATCGAATAATATATATCGTTGTAGGAGCATACTCATGTCCCACAGTCACAAAGGTCGGAATAAATCGAACTATATATTTCATTGAAATCACAGGATTTGGACATATAAACCAATTTTCAACTACTGTGCACTGCAAACCAACTTGGCTAAATTCAGTGTTTGATCTTACAAAACATAATATGGGGGAGAAACTTCACCATGTCCAACACGGTTTTAGCCAGATCTGGATGCAGTGTGTTGCCTTTGAATGTAATCCCAATACAGAATTTTCATTGAAATAATGAGCTTTCCTCTTAGAGCTTTATTTTCATTCTCAAGTTCATCGATAATTTCCTGTGCATTCTGAAGCTGGACCTCAAGCTCTTCAATTAAAACATTCATCTGGGATTTTTCTTGAACATTTTCTTTCATTGACTTCCTAGCTTCAAGGCACGATTGCTCCATGGAAGTTATATCAAGCTTCAAGCTCTCTATTTCACACTGAGATTCCAATGCCATAGATGCAACTGTCTCCAATTTCTCTATGCACACAGCTGACTGTTGCAGCTCTTCTTCTTTGTTCTCTAATATCTGCATCAGTAACAACCGCTCGGAGTTCGACCTGTTTAACTCTCCTATCAACCGAACAATTTTCTCCCGTAAATCCTCCATGTCAAACAATTTGATCTCAAGGTCGTGCACATGGTCATTTCGAAAATTGACCTCTTCATTCCTTGCACTTAGTTGATCCTGCAGGTAATTGACAGGTTTGAACCTGAAATGGAGAGAAATGGTTGAAGAAATAGAGAGAAAGGTAGATTACAGAAAGAAGTTCTTAATATTTTTCATTCATAATCCTCATTGTTCTGTTACATTTTCTAATATATTCCTCAGCTTATTCAATTATTTATTGACAGCTGGTATATTCTTTCTAACAACATAACCGTTTCCTGTCCAGCTCAGCTATGGCCCGCATCATCTTATCTGCTAATTGCCTTTCAGCCCAGTTACCATCTTCAGCCCAATTGCCGTGCCCAGTTGCTGTTTAGTCCAGCTACCAGCTTCCTCGTCTGCCCCGATAACAGGTAATATCAAAATCCCTAATTCATTCCTTAATTTCCCCATTTTCTCATCTCCAATCCCTAAATCCTTCTTCCCTCTTTCTAATTTTTCGTCCAAGGTCATAACAATACCCCCTTCTGCAGTGGATGCTTGTCCCCAAGGATCAAATCAGGGAATTGTGATTTCATCACATTAAAATCCTCCCATGTAGCGTTCTCCAGTCCAAAATTCACCCACTGAATTAACAACCGAGTGATTGCCTTTTTGTCTCTTTTCACTATGCGTTTGTCTAATACCAGGGAAGGATAAACACGAAGTTGACCCTCGGCATTGACCTCTGGTGGATCTCTAGAGGTAATTGCTTTCTCTCCGATTTTCTTTTTCAACAAGCTAAAATGAAAAACAGGATGTATTTTTGAATTTTCAGGCAATTGCAGTTTGTAAGCCACTGATCTGATTTTTTTCTATGACTTTGTAGGGTCTATAGTATCTGACTGATAGTTTCAAATTCTTCCTTATTGCCACCGAAGTCTACCGATATGGCTGTAATTTAAGGTAAACTTCATCTCCCACTTGTAATACTCTATCACTGCGTTTTTTATCTGCATAGTGCTTCATGCGTTTTTGTGCTTTATCAAGTTGTTCATGTAGAATTGTATTCATACTGTCTCTTTCATGTAGAAACTTTTGTACCTCTGCTACCTTTGAGTCTGTAGACTAAATCATAGTAGGGGATTTACCCATAGAGAGTTGTGAATGGAGTTATTCCCAAAGCAGTGTGGAAGCTGGTATTGTACCACCATTCTACTTGGGACAACCATTTACTCCAACTTGTAGGTTCATAAAACACATCCCTCGCAAATATTGTTCCAAACATTGGTTTAACCTCTCTGTTTGACCATCAGTTTCTGATGGTAGGCTGTAGTGAAGAGGGTGTTAGTTCCCAATAGCTTAAGTAATTCTGTCCAAAAAGGCTTGTAAAAATCTTATCCCTGTCAGATAAAGCTATTTTTGGCTGCCCATGTAGTTTATACACTTGATCCAAATAGACTTTAGCTACCTCTGCTGCAGTAAATGGGTGTACCAGAGGTATGAAGTGTGCATATTTAGTAAACTTGTCAATGATAACCAATATGCAATTGTACATGTTAGAGGTTGGAAATCCTTCAATAAAGTTCATAGTAACAAATTCCCAAGCTTGTTGGGGAATTGGGATTGGTTGAAGTAGCCCTGGTTTCAAAACATGCTCATCTTTAATCCTTTGGCAAATGTCACAATGATAAACATAATCTTTAATCATCCTTTTCATCCCTTTCCAATAAAATAGGACTTCACTCTATGATAGGTAGCTTGGATTCCTGAGTGACCACCTTGGGGTGAGTCATGTAGTCTCTATAATATGCCTTCTTAGGGAACCTGCTTGTCCAATATAAACCTTGCCCTTATTCCTTAAGACATTCTTTGAATAAGACCATTCTGTTGTATCTTGAGTAGAGACAGCTAGCTTAGTAATTATTTCTATAGCCATTGGATCATTCTGGTAACTCTGCTCAACCTCTTGAACCCAGGTTGGAATCACAACAGTAGCTGTTAATTATTGTAATTCCATCTTATCCTCATCTCTTTTAGATAGGGCATCAGCTGCTAAATTATGTTTGCCTTTCCTGTACTGAATAACATAATTCAATCCTAATAACTTTGTGAGCCTCTTATTTTGTATGGAAGTAGTCAACTTCTGTTCCAACAAATGCTTTAAAGCCTCATGATTTGTCTTTATAATAAAAGACCCCCATTCCAAGTAATGCCTCCACTTAGAAATGGCCATTAGTATAGCCAAGTACTCCTTTTCATATATGGACAGATCCAATTGTTTAGGTCCTAAGGCCTTACTGAGATAAGCCACTGGTTTACCCTCTTGAGACAAAACTGCTCCAATTCCCTTAGAGCTTGCATCTGTCTCCAAGCAGAAACCCTTAGTGAAGTCAGGCAGTGCTAAAACAGGAGCATGACACATTGCGGTATTAAGTAATTCAAAGGCAGTTTTGCTTTCTTATGTCCACTGAAACTGATATTTTTTAAGCATAGTAGTTAAGGGTTTAGCAATAAGCATAGTAGTTAAGGGTTTAACAATCTTTCCATACCCTTTTATAAATCTCCTATAATATCATGTCAAGCCCAGGAAACCTCTTAGAGATTTTAGGGTTTTTGGCAATTTCCACTGCTGCATTGCTTGAATCTTGGTTGGATCAGTAGATACTCCTTATCTAGATATAATGTAGCCTAGATACTCCACTTCTATTTGACCAAAGAAACACTTGGTTCCTTTTGCAAACAATTGATTCTGTTTTAGAACTTCCAAAACAGTTCTGAGATGCTTGGTATGACTTTCCAAATCAAGATTGTAGATAAGTATATCATCAAAAAAAAAACCAGTACAAATTTTCTTAGATAAGGCTCAAATAATTTGTTCATTAAGGCCTAAAAAGTTGATGGGGCATTTGCCAACCCAAAAGGCATAACTTTGAATTCAAAGTGACCATGATGAGTCCTAAAGACTGTTTTAGGAATGTCTTCAGGAGTAATTCTAATCTGCCAGTACCTTGACCTCAAATCCAGTTTAGAAAAATAAGCTGCTCCAGTAAACTCATCTAACAAATCTTTCACCACATGAATGGGAAACTTATTTTTGATAGTTAAGGCAATCAATTGCCTATAATCTATGCACATCCTTCAACTTCCATCTTTCTTCTTGACCAACAGACAAGGTGAGGCAAATGGGCTTTTACTTATCTGAATTATAGAAGAAGATAACATTTCTTTAACTTGCTTTTCAACCTCTGACTTCTGATGGTAGTGCATTCTGTAGGGTCTGATGTTCACTGCCTATGTACCATCTTTTAATATGATTGAATGGTCATGTTCCCTTGTGGGTGTCATCCCTTTTGGTTCCTCAAAAACAACTGAATATTCCTCCAATAAACTTTGTAAGTCAGCAGGTACCTCATTACAACTAACCTCCCCACTCGGCATAACAATTTCTCCTGTGATATCATTTTTTTCTCCATCAATTTCTGCAGTTTACTGTTTGATATCAGTCTAACAGTAGATGGACTTTGCCCTCCCTTTAAAGTAACATCTTTCCCTTCCTTCTGGAAGCTCAAAGTCATGTGATTAAAGTCAATCAGTTGTGGACTGTATTTTCTCAGCCAATCCACCCCTAACACCATATCACTCTCTTCTAGAGCTAAAACTCTAAAATCATGTTCAAACTGAGAACCTTGCATTCCCCACCTTAAATTTTTACTCATAGCCGAACTGTATAATTTTTCTCCATTAGCAACTGTAATGGTCAAGGGATGAGTCTGTTCCACTTTTACTTCTTCTTTATACTACTAGCCAGTTATAAAACTGTGAGTGTTTCCACTGTCTATTAGGATGTTCAGAGGTTTCCCTGATATGTGAACTTGTATCCTTAAAGTATTGTGGCCTGTGTGACTTGTTATAGCATTTATAGAAATTTCAAGTTCTCCTTCCACAGATTCTGCTATCTTGGGCTCATTATATTCTGGTTCCATATTCTCAAACTCTCATGTATCCTCTATCTCCTCCATAGAATTCAACTGTTTGACTTTGCATTGATGTCTTGGACTAAACTTCTCACCACATTTGTAGCACAATCCATGTGTTCTTCTATACTCCACCAATGACTGTCTATTATGGCTAGTATTCTGAGCAACTCCCTTTTGTGGTTGATTCAAAGAGGTATTAGGAGATTTGTAGATGGATCTCTGTCCTATAAATGCCACTCTAGGTTGAACCCTCAACTTCCTATTTTCCACCTCCCAAGTCAACTCAACCAGTTTTGCTAGTCTAAAAGCAGCAACCAAAGTTGTTGGGTTATGAGTTTTTACTCTGGGCTTGATTTCTTCTTTCAGTCCACTCAAAAAATGGAAACAAAATACCCTTCACCCAAAAATGGACTATACTGCAACATGTAAGACCTCAACTCTTCGAACTTCTCATGATAATCTTCTACATACTGTCTTTGAGTCAGCATATTAAATTCCTCCACAATATCATTACAATTCTGATCACAAAACCTATGGCATATATCTGTTGTAAACTCATGCCAGTTCACCCTATGCTTCTGAGCTATATAATCATCAAACCAAGTCTCAACCCTCCCAGTTAAGTACATTGTAGCTAATTCCACTTTCTGGTATTCAGGTACCTTAAATATGGAAAAGTACTTTTGGCATTTCCTTGCCCAACCTCTCGAATTTGTCCCATCAAACATTTGAATTTCTATTTTAGGCCTAAAAACATAGTTTAACTGAACATCTCCACCAATAGATGACTCCCCTAAGTCCACTGTATTTCCTTCCATTTTCAGCTTTTGTACATCTGTAGTATCCTTAAGTGGACTTTCATCATTTTGAGGAATAACAGCAGGTCTAGATGATAATATTCCAGGTTCATCTTGCTTATAAGTATATTTCTCATGCTCATTAAGAGTTGTTATTAAGCATGGATGCTTACCTTCCTTCCTGGTTTGATTCACATTTGCTTGCAATCGACCTTTATCTGACAAAGGTGAATCTTTTTCCTCAGCTGTCTGGCTCACCATCTGCAAGATTCTCTGTAAATATCCTCTATTCTCAGTCATTCCAGTTTCCAGCATTTGTATCCTTTCTTTCAGCTCACTTTTCTGACCAGCCCACCAAGATGGTAAGGTCTCTTTATTCTTAGCTTCCACTGATTGTTCTGGTGCCTCTTTGGTTCCAGTCTTCTGCATTTTCTTTGTCTTTCCCAGCTTGAAAATTTCTTGGGATCAATAATCTAGCTCTGATTACCAATGGTCATGTTTGAACCTGAAATGGAGAGAAATAATTGAAGAAATAGAGAGAAAGGTAGATTACAGAAAGAAGTTCTTAATATTTTTCATTCATAATCCTCATTGATATGTTACATTTTCTAATATATTCCTCAGCTTGTTCAATTATTTATTGGCAGCTGGTATATTCTTTCTAACAACATAACTGTTCCCTGTCCAGCTCAGCTATGGCCCGCATCATCTTATCTACTAATTGCCTTTCAGCCCAATTACCATCTTCAGCCCAATTGCCGTGCCCAATTGTTGTTTAGTCCAGCTACCAGCTTCCTCGTCTGCCCCGATAACAGGTAATTTCAAAATCCCTAATTCATTCCTTAATTTCCCCATTTTCTCATCTCCAATCCCTAATTCCTCTTCCCATCTTTCTAATTTTTCGTCCAAGGTCATAATAGTAAACTGAAGGATGCGAACACAAGACTAAAGTTTTTGCATGGTAAGGTAGAAAGTAAATTGAAAAGATGGAAATTTGAAGGAATAAAAAGGTAGAAAGATAGAAAATATTGATGGATTTTTCTTCTTCTTTCCATTAGTTTTCTTGGCATGAGAGATGGAAAAATGGAAAGAAAAAGTAACTTTCTTTCCCTTTGATGCTTGGCAGAGTTAAGGGGAAAAAAAGAATCATTACCTATTTCTTGTGAGCGATTTTTAAGCTCTCTTTCCAATTTTTGAATATGTTTTTGGTCTTGCGAACGAGCTTCCGATATTGACTTCACATGTAGTTTGAGTCCCTGTAGTGAACAAAATTACAATCAGACAATAATGAAAATTGAAATATCTAAACCTCAATATCTACCTTTATTGTTTGGGTTTCAAGGTTGAAGAATTCAAAGGTGTGGCATTTTCCCTTTGTTTTTAACAATTACATTAATTCAACAACCAAGTAAAGAATGGAGACCTTTTCAACCCCAAGGGTATAATTATCTTCCGAGTGTTTGCATATTAATCTTAGGAGATTGTCTAAACCAAAGGACAAGTTAACTGGCCCTTTGAGTTACTTTAGCAGCAAGCAATCTCAAGTCAAATATCGATCATGCTACTAACCAAGCTGAAAAGTCTGGATAAAATAATGAAAATCTACGACGCAAGTAAGAAGTTATTAGTAAAGTTTTCTATAGATGGCAATGGCAGACTTCAGCATACTAAACTGATTAGTGTTACCATACTTCACTATCGGCACATAACACACACACAATATATATATATATATATATATATATATATATATATATATATATATATATATATATATAATTATAAGATCCAGAAACCAGATAAGGTTACATGGAAAACTCTTTCCCCAAGAACCTATGGTACTTGAACTCGAGTATAGTATCGAATAAGGGTATATGCTCGACATGGGTAAGTTCATTCCCCCCCCCCCCAAGTATTTCCATGTATTTGGAGGGTCCTTAGGGTGGTACTCATATCCCAATATCCGGTGTTGGATAAAGATATGTGATCAACAAAGGTATGCTCATTTTTCCCATGTTCTTGGAGGGTCCTTAGGGTGATACTCATATCCCCATATACATATCCAAATATGTGACTGACACCGATGCTTTAAGCAAAATGAAGAGTCAGAGCAACCTGAATAAAATGAATAGGTTATTATTATATATAAGAGCATGTGCATGTTACATTATCAAATGTGAACTCCGGGTAAAACGAGTGTCTATAATATTTATATATTATTTTTAAATAAAATATTTAATTAATAAATATAAATACGAATAATGTATTATTCCATCTAAAGTTGTATAAATTTAACTCGTAATAAAATTCTTAGGGGTGTTCATTTTTCAGTTTTAACCGATTGAATTGAATTAGTTTCGTTAATTTAGTCAGCCATCAAATTAGTTTCGATTGGGAAACAATTAATATTCTTTTCAATATATGATTAACAATTAATTCAATTTGAATTTAGATAATTAATTGAATTAACCGAAATTATTAAATATTAAATATTATATATATATATTAATTACATATTTTAAGTTTAAATCCAAAAATACTTTTATTATATTCAAATTAATCTAATTAAAACAATTGTAAAAAAATTTCGATTAACCTATTAAAATAACCAAACTTTATTCAATTCGGTTAATATTTTTTAAAAAAAATTAGATTCGTATAACGATTCAAGAAAAAAGATTAATTAATCCGGTTAATAGAAATTAACTCAACAAAATTATGTATGGAGAAGTTTAATCCCCTAAAAATTCTTTGTTTTTAACTCAACAAAATTATATTAATCTAAAATTCCCAGCTCGTCTCCTATTTTCCCTCTTCTTCTCCTCCTCGTACTACGTCCAGGCCCTCCTTTTGCCTTCAAGTATCCGACAGACCGGGAAATAAGATTAGGTAAATTTCGAAACACTAAACCTAATTTGAGGATTTACTTCTACTTTAGTCAATAGATTTCGAGTTATCTGCTATCGTGCTATATCTGATTTTCTGTTTTCGATCTTTTTGCTCGTTACCGTCTCATCTCATACTCTCCCTCTCTGTTTATTTTATTAAGTAGGATAAATTTTCTTAGGAGAAATAACAGTCCCCAAATCGCTTTGCCGCCGCCATTTGAAACCCTGTAAATAATCTCAACTCGGTGCGTATTTTTGCCATAGTAGATCGCCAATATTAATGTCGAATTTGGGAGGAGGGGTAGGTAATCCTCTCAAGACTTGGGTTTCGGATAGATTAATGTCATTGCTGGGATTTTCCCAGCCCACGCTTGTAGAGTATACCATTGGACTAGGTATGTATCTTTCTTTCTCTATATATGTATATCTGGGCATCTATAGTTGAAGATAAATATTCTCGATTATGGTGCTTTTATTAAATTGTTCTTGATGTTGCAGCTAAACAAGCAGCATCACCTGCTGATGTATTGGGCAAGCTTGTAGAATATGGCTTGCCATCGTCTGCTGATGTTCGTGTATTTGCTGAAGAAATATTTGGTAAAGTCCCTCGTAAAGCATCAGGTGAAAATGTGAGTTAATGTTTTATGTGAACAAGAGACAAAAGATGTAAAAAGTTACAGAAATTATTTCCAAAAACCAGAGACAAGTTTGAGAGACAACAGTTGATAAAAGCAAGAGAGTTGGACAAAAAAGGATAATAATAATAATAATAATAATAAAACACAACAGGTTTTAAAGAAGTTTTCAGTTAGAAGCAACAGCTGTGTATTTGATCTGATTTTTTAATATTTCTGAAATATATACAAACATGTACATATATGTGTGTGTATAATTGGAAATGTTAAGAAATAAACTATTCTGAACAATTATCACATAGTCTCCACATTTTCACAAATAAAAGCTAGCATCCATACCTCAGGTACCTCTACCTCAACACCATCCACCTCTACTCTAACTTGCCAAGGAAAGTCCGCAAACGTACCGTCCATTATACTCTTAGCACCTTCTCTTGCATAAAGCACTTTATTCATAAACTGCAGGAATATTGAGGTAACTTCATAAATATGGAATTGTATAAGCAATAAGACAAGCTATCAGGCATACAAAAATTATTACAAAAATATAAATAAAATATAGACCAAAATACAAACTATTCATGTATATATCTTCCAATGGAAATTTTTCAATTTTCCATTTGATGTACTTCAAAGCTATATGTCATTACAGCCTCCCTGGTTTTCACTTCCGCTATACGATAAATTGTAATGAGGTGGAAATCTGCATATAAAGTATGCAAATCTCTGCATTCTTTAAATTGTAATAACATTCAGAGAGAGTGTTTGCTCTGAGGTACAAGTATAAGCTTCCAACTGACATGATTGTATTAATATATTTACATTTCTAAAACTACAGGTAGGCTGAAATTAAATATCATTTTTCAATTGAACAAACTACGTAATTAGCCCATAAATCATCAAATTTATTTTGCATAGTAGTTGAAAAGCAACGTTGCAAGAATATGAGAACCTGATTATTGAACTTCTCGGGATTCTCCTCTCTCAAGTTGTGAATGTCCAAAGCGACCTTCGCATCACGTCCAATCCCTGTGTAAGAGAATCATAAAGCATGAGAATACCACCAAGTTATCATAAGTGAACACGAAAGACAATGGAAAGACCAATAAACTCATCTAACCAAGAAAATGGAACAAGATAAATCTACCAATCAGCCAGCTAAAATACCAAGTGACCGATTCAAATGATTTTCACTAGTTCAGGAGATCATGGATATATATTTACAAAATATCCTTGAAAAATATCTATAGTTATAATGCAGCATGCAACCAAATCCAAATCCAAGCAAACTACAAAAACCATCTATGATAAAATTCCATCTTAAACTTGCTTTCTCCTTCCTCTATAAGGTCAAATTCCAACTTGACAACATAGATGTTGAACTTAATCAGATTCTAGAAGACCTAAAAGAACTAGTCTGCATACCTAGATAATTGTTCATAAATTTTGGAGATTGAAGTTGCTTCCCCTGTTAGTTCAGAATAGCTACTTTCCAGCGGTCAAGAATAGTCACTGCAGCATGCCCTATGTCCTGCAATACCGTGCAGAGTCCCCCTTGTCTTTCCAGAGAGCCCAAGCCACCTCCCATGACAGTACCCTGGCCAGATCATTTCCAGTTCCAGCAGGGAGAATAGCAACTGGAGGTGGTGAAACAAAATTTTGCTTGTCTATTGCGTTAAGAACCCAGCCAACAGTACCATCCCCACCACATACAAGTATCCTAAAATGAGGAACCTTTCTGAATAAAAAGAGACCCATCTCTGGTCCCTGTGATGAACTCAGTTCAAAACCTGAATGGGCAAACCCATCAAAAACATGAACTTGAATAACCAACAAATAGTTGTGACCGATTTTAACGAAAATACACAAATAAAAATATCAAACTGGAAAACAAGTAAAAAACATGAAAACAGAACCAACAAAAAGTTCTGACCAATTTTAAAGAGAAAACCCTCCAAAACATCAAATCAGAAAACATATTGACAACTATGAAATTCAAGAACCAAACCTAAAATCAGGACAGCTAGAAGCCTAGAACATAAACGAAAAGAAAGAAAGACAGTCCAAGTAATAGTGTCAGCAGTTGCGACATAATTATAAGGTTATCAATTCATTACGAAACCCAATAAAAATACGTATATTGGGTATCATCTTCCAAGAACTTGAGGGAAGTCAATCCTGGCAAGTGTGTAGATGCTTAATTTGTCTGGGCCTATATCATGGGCAAATGAAAGTAGTTTTTGGGAGTTAAAAACCAGAAAAAAAAAAAGATAGTGGGGAAATAACTACCAGAAACGTGGGACATTTAACCACTAAAAAACGAGAGCATTAGGGGAGACGAGGGGAGGAACTAGGGACAGAAACGAAAAAGAAAAGAGAGGATTTAGAACGAGAGAAAACGGAGACCATTGTAACAGAGAAAAGAGAATAAATAAAAAAAAATTTCTTTTGTAAAGGTCTCTCGACCACCATTTTGGAAGGAATAAAGGAAAGCATTCTTTTATTCACTCTGTCAGTAGAAGTAAATATCACTCATTCGCAAAGGCAATAGCAGTCTCTCGAGGTATATTCATTCTAAGTTCATTTTTTATTTACAGTGTAGTGTTTGTGCTATTTTGATATAAGCATGATGAAAGAAGAAAGTTCTGAAGTAAAGAGCAGAGTTTTCTGTGCGTGTGTGGTTATTGTTTAGAGCGAGACAGGAGAGGTTTAGTTGTGCTTTACCAAGTTCTGTTACGGGTCTTCACGAGTGTAAGGGAGCCAAGAGTGGTTAGCATTGCCTGAGCTTTAGAGTTATTAGGTTGGCAGTGTCGGTTTTCAAAGGTTGACATAGAAGCAATATTGGAAAGCCCCGTATTACCATTGTTTTTTAGAAGCAATGTAACAGGCTTCTCGGATTTTAAAATAAAGGAAAGCATTGTAATTTCTTCCCCTTCGTTTTTCAGAGAAAACAAAACGCACAATCATTCCTATTTTTCTTTTCTTTTCTCCCATACGAAAATAGTGTACAAAGAATAGTAAAGAGATTTATCAACCATTTTTCTTTGCATTTCCAGTAAGTTTTCTTCCCCATATTTGAACCAAAATAATAAGAAATGAAAGAGCAGAGATGAGATGAAAGAGAGTTACCTTGCTTTGATTGAATCTTCGTCGGAATAGAGAGACTGTTCTCGTCTAGTCGTTGGGCTTAAGAGCATGAATTATTGCGGTTAGCTTTGGGAGGTTTTCTTTGTAGATTCATTTTAGTGTCCTAGGTTTTGAGGTAGGAAAGAATGAAGTCTGGATTTGTGAGTTTTCATCTAGGCTACGACTGTCACGGATGATAGCTAGAGTCGATTTCATCACCAATGAATGGTGGAGTTCACGGTACTCATGGAGATTGAGGGAACTGATTCTCATCTTGGTTGTAGGGGTTAAACGAAGAAGTGAAACAGAGAGAGTTAGGGGAGAAGAGAGGTGCTGTCGTGGAGAAGATGAGTGGAGAGCAAAGTGAGAGAGCGGCTAAGGTAGTGTGAGTTTAGGATTAGGTTTAGTTTATAATTAGAATTTATATTAGAAATGTTAGGGTTAATTATTCGTAAGTCATCGTCTTTTAGAAGTTATTAGCGTGAGGTCTAGTATATTTAGCTTAGTATATTTTAGTCCTCGATTAGAATCTTTTATTTTTCATTTTAGTTCTCATATTTTTTTGCGTATTTGATTTCATCCTTAATTAGTAATATACTTAAAATCTGTTTTTTAGACATTTCATTCTTAATTTTCGCATGTTTCGTTTTAGTCCATGTTTAAGTTTCTTATGTGTATGCATGTATGGTTAGTTAGGGTTCGTTTCGTGTGTATATTTATCCTAGGTTTGAATGATGGCGATATGTGTGCATATGTTATTATACGGTTCATAAGCATGGATTTAGATATAATATATACTTTTATTTAATCGATCTTTACATGACATCATTTTGGTATAATTTGCATGATAGCCTCATTTGCATAACTTGACATATTACATAATCGGACTAAGGGTAATACACTTTTAATTTAAAATTGTATTAAGTGGGCAGTCATAACTGATTTGAGGTCCGCTTTTAATGATTTTAAAATAAAAGTGTATCCCGAAAGTGAAACCTAAAAATTGATCCATCACACTAAAATTTGGGAACGAGAGAAAAAGAAATGTTCGTTTATTTAAATATATCGAGAAAAGGTTGTTATATCTTTAAGATCTGGTCTCGATATTTGTAAATAATCGAACATTCTTTATATTTCTAAAATGACTTGGTAATTTTAATTTAATTTGTTTAAGTGTTTTTGAATGTTTTAAATTTACATTTTTTATTTCATGGGATCAAAAATCAGAATAAATTCGAATTTGTAAAATTCATTGTAAAGACGTTAATTGATCGACTAGGTACCAATTTAGGGTGTTGTGGGGGTGCTAATCCTTCCCCACACGTAACCGACTCCCGAACTCGGATTTTGGTGACACAGACCTCAATTTGTTGTTTTAATTAAAATTAATTTTTATTTAAAATGACAAAGCATTTTTGGGTGTCCAATCACACCCTAATCAAAGATTGGTGGCGACTCTTCGAACCTTATTTGTCGATCGTAAAGGAAATTCAAATTTTTCGAAACGAGAGGTCTTTTAAATCGCATATGTTTTTAAAATGAAAAGAGACAATTAAGAATTAATGTGGTTTTCAAAATCTCACCGTTTTTCACCTTTTAAGAAAAAAATCGTTTCGACAGCTTGGCGACTCCGCTGGGGACCTTTTTTAGAGAGTCAAGCTGATAGTCGATTAATTAATTGTCTTTGCAATTGAAAATTACAAATTCGTTTTAATTTGATTTTTGATCTATTGTTTGGTTTTTAATAATTTTTGTTTGTTTATATTTTGATTTTTTTAATTTAATTTGATTGACAATTAAATAGTTGTACTGATATGTTTGCTAATGATTTCAGAATAATTGTGTGTTTTGGGAATTGATTTTGAGTGTTTTTATTGTTTGTTTTTTCGTTTTTCCTCACACACTGCACAGCTGCATTGTCATAACATGAGCTAAAACTCCGCTCCGTCCTATTTAAGTAGGAGTGAGAGACTATGCCCTCGTGTGGTTTTCACCTCCGCATGGGATAGTGGATCGCTCCTGGAGCTCACGCCTTATGGTCCTCGTGATGGTAATCACCTCCGCATGGACATAAGGAGGTGTGTTCCCTCGAAATTGAACTCGATCCCCTAAAGCCTGTGATGGGCTAGGATTGAGGGTTCGGCAGCCCAATGGGGCACCGGCAAGGACAATTCGAGAACCTATTACTTTAGAACCTAACCCGGCATATAGTGAACATAGAGCCTAAACTTAGGTTGAACCAAACCCGAACCTTAAGAATCCCGTGAGGAGGGTACACAAGGAAAAGCTTTTTTGAGTCATTTATTTTCGTTTTTTCGAATAAATGCATGCGAACTAGATATCATGCGGTTAGGTGTATTTTTTGAACAAGCATGCGAATTAGATATCATGTGGTTAGGATTTATTTTTGTGGATAACAAAGCCTGGGGGTAGATATCATGTTGGGTAGGATCTGATAAAGCATGATGGGGTAGTCAGCATATGTGGGTAAGATTTTTGAACAAATTATTATCCTGAATTAATTGTTTCATGTTTACTAATCGATCTTTTGTTGTTTTTGCCTTGTTTCTTTTCTGTTTTGCATTGCATTGTCCATTACATGGTGTTGATTTGGGGTCGATGTCTATATAGAAGGCCAGTAATATGGAACGAACGGTTCAGAAAGAGATTGAGGACAATGCAGATGTTCTGAGGTGGTCGGAACAGTCCCAATTGACCAATGGGGATAGCGTGATGCCTGGATATGTGTCAGAGTTATTTGGTTACACTCACATCAACGTGCGTCAGAATGATCTAAGTGAGCTAAAGGAGATATGGGGAAGATGGACAGTAGCCGATAAGGAGATGTTTTATCAGTTGTACGGCGATATTCCTTATCTTCTGGATGTTTCTATTGACCGAAATCTGTTTAGAGCATTGGCACAGTTCTGGAACCCGGCTTATAGTTGTTTCACATTTGGTAGAGTGGATCTAACACCAACAATAGAGGAGTATCAAGCTTTGGTCCGTTGTTCGAGGTCACAGATGGATAGAGTATATACCAAGCTGCCAATCACTCCTTCGTTTAAGAAGAAATTACTATTGATGACCGGAATGAGTGAAGATTGGGTAATCAGAAACATTAAGAAGAAGGGAGACAGTGAGTGCATCTTTTGGGCTGCTCTGAAAGAAGTAATTGCTCATCATCCTGATAAGAGAAAGAAGCTTGACTTGTTTGCTTTAGGGATTTATGGGCTCGTTATTTTTCCAAAAGTGTTAGGATATGTAGACGTATAAGTTGTTGACCTGTTTGAAAGATTAGACAAGCGCGTGGATCCTGTTCCAGCTATTCTAGCTGAGACGTTCCGGTCTTTGAGTTCTTGTAGGCGCGAGGGAGAAGGACGTTTTATAGGATGTGCGCCTTTGCTGCTAGTGTGGATTTTGAGTCATTTCAAACATGTTGAAAGGGCACCAGGACGAGTATTTTTAGACGGTTTCTCACCTTTGAAGGATTTTCTTTCTAAAGAGTGGCCTGGGGGTTTTACCGAAGAAAAATGGATGGTTATCTTCAAGGATATCAGAGATGGTGATATTTTGTGGCGAGCTTCGTGGAATACCTCTTCGGATATACTTTACCGATGTGGAGAGCGAGATTGGGTTCC